AAACTTTTTATTGACAAGTTGTTTTATTAAAGTTCCTAAAATTTCAGTAAATTTTTCTTTTAATATACCCAGTCTTTTATTGTTTTGCAATATTTTAATTTCTATTTTTTAGATTAAAAGGTCCATTATACAATGTTATATTAAATAAAATATTCGATAAAATTTTACAAAAAATACTTTATAATAAATTAGCCTTTTATATAATTCTAATTTTTTATTTTATTTTAATAGTGATTTTATGTTACTATATATTTTTCATTAATTTTTTTCTATCTTTTCTCTGTTTTTGTCTTTCTTAAATTTTGTTTATCTTCATTTCAATATTAAAGCTGATGCTAATATTTTTATTTTTCTCTTACTCTTACAAGTATTTGTATCTATTTATTTTACTTTTTTTACAATGTTGTTATATTATAAATATTATTTCCTTAGTTCATATTACAATTTTCATTAATTTTATTTATATAATATTCTGATCTATATTTTATTTTCATTGCTTATCTAAATATGAATTTTTAATTTAATTTTGTAAAAATTTTGTATATCTTAGGATTTAGCTTTTATTTTCTTTCCTTTATTTATATTTATATCTCCATCTTCTTTTTGTTTTTTTTTAAATTTATGTATTCCTGATATATTAAATGATTGTTTAATAATTTGTCCATAGTATTTAACAAACATATTAATAAAGAGCATGTAGAATTGTTTCTTCTAATTTAATAAATATAAATATAATATTAAATGCTATAAACTAATAAGCTGTATTTATGTAGTTTGTTAATAAACGTATTATTAACCTTTTTGAGAATAAAAAATAACAGCGTAGAAAATAAATAGTTGGTCATGTGGTCTATAAATAATATTATAGACCTATTTTGTGTAATATTTAGGTAAATACGTAGAATGAAAACATTTTATTTTATGCATGATGAATCGTGATAATAATGTACAACATAGACGAATGCATTAAAATAGTTATTCAAAAAGCAGTACAAATAAAAAAAAAAAAAAAAAAAATATATATATATTTGCATCAAATGAATACACTAAAAAAATAATAAATAATGATGTTTTTTTGTTATTTTCATATTTTTATTATTAAAAAAAATATTACATTAATTTTTTTTTTTTTGGAGGATTATGTGCGAATTGTTATAGAGTACATATATTTTTTTTAAGTTAAAATGCAATATTACGAAATTTTATATTGAGGAGTCATATAAATTAACTTAAAAAAATTAATAAGTATCATTTATGTTGATTAAAAAAAATAAAAAGTAAAAATTAAAATTAAATAGAGTTTACATGCTCTTTATTAATTTGATTATTTGATACTAGTTAGATCACTATACAGCCGATTAATAAATCACATAGCAACAATGGCAGGAATAATCAAAGCCGACGTAGGTTTTACCTACGTTGGATTACCAATAAACAATGGAAAAAGATTTGTCAATTTTTGGATTAAGGGTACTAATAGAAATAATAAATTTTAAATAATCATATCAGTTTAAAATTAGAAAAAACTATGAAACAATCAAAGTTAAAATATCAGAACTTCCGAAATTTAATGAAAAATCTTTACAAGAATATTTAAAACAGTTTATGGTATTTAAGAATAAGGTAAAAATATTAGAGCTAACTACACGGGAAGTATATATAAATGGTTAATAAAAGGACTAGTTATATGAAGAATACGTAGACGGTCATGCATACACAAAAAAAAAAAAAAAAAAATGATCAAATTTTTTTTGTTTGTATTATTTATAAAAAAAAAAAATTTTCATAAAAAAAAAATCAAATGGAAAAAAATTTGTTACCAATGAATAAAAAAAAAAAAAAAAAAAAGATTTCTTTTTTTTGAAATGAAATATGATTTTAATGAATTTTGTAAGAGATAATTATATACATACAACAATAAATTTTTCACATAATTAAAATTTATATAATTAATTTGTATTGTCACTAATTGTTTATGTTTGTTAATTCAACAGAAATATATTTAAATTGCTGAACATAACTCATAACAAAGAAATAAATAATTTGCAATTAAATAATACTCAATATTCAATGAGGATTTAAACTTTTAATAAAGATGAGGATTTTTATTAAAGTATATAAATGCCTATTGTAATTAAAGAATGCTGAACAAAGTAGATCACATAATTAAGAATCACTTGTTCAAAGCATTTTAAAATATATACAAATACATGAAAACCATAGAAGAAACTCTACATGCTCTTTATTAATTTGTTTGTTGAGTACTCTAGAAAAGTCACTGAACACCCACTTAATAAAACATCTACATAGAAAATTCATATCTTCTGTAATGTAGAACAGATGTGCTTATAAAATATGTATGATATTTGTAAAAAGTTTATTTAAAAAAAAATTAAGTTTGCATCTTTTTTTAAGTTTTTTTTAAAATGTATTGTTATTTTTTTTATATAGTTTTATAAAAACTATTGAGGGATGTGATTAAAATTATGAGACATAAAAAATATCTTTAATTTATTGTGAATAAATAATTATATAAGGGGTATATAATTATCTACTTAATTGTATCATAAATGAAATAAGTAGAGATCTCTCTACACTCTCTTTATCAATTTAATATTTTAAAGTACTATAAAAGTCTTTGAACAGCCAATATAATAATATGTTACGTTTTTTCTATTATTATTATTCTTTTTAACGCATATCATACAATTTTTATAATTTAACAATACATATAATTATCATAAAATATTATCATTATAAATATTATTATAATTAATAAAAATATTCTGTTGTTTACACTTGAATCCCTATTAAACACCATATTTTTTTTTATACACGTGAATTTTACAAGAATAATTTTATTACTCAAATGAAATCTATCTTTAATTCCTAATAGACAATTATATTATTATTTTGATTAATTTTATACATACTATTAATATTGTTATTATACTTATCCTTATATGAATATTTTTTTTTAGAGGGGAAATATAACAAGTTTAGAATATTTTTATATAATATTTTGTATAATACCACCACTTGTGACAATATTAAAATATTTAATATAATTATGCTTCTATTAGACTTTGTGGTAATTTTTTTTATTTTTTTTGCTTTTTAATCATTAACATTTCTTTTTTATTTAATATTTTATTATTTTAATTAGTTCATTTGCATTATTTATTATTACTGTTATTCTCAATAGTATTTGTTTTTTATTATGAAATGCTTTTCATTATTTATTATATGCAACCAATCAACAAAATTCTAATAATTAATTAATAGCATAAAATTATATATATACATGAAAAAAAAAAAAAAAGTAAATATCAGTGAATAAAAATGAGAAAATTTTAAATAGTATTTTTTTCGTTTGTTTTTTTTTTTCTTTTTATTATAATATATACAGTGTTTCTAAGATAAAATTTTTTTTTCAGCAAATATAATTAAGAAAACTACATATGTTACATATTAAATGTTATATATTTTGTTATAATTCTTCCTAGAATAACTGTAGATTCATAATAATTTTTTTTATTTACATTTTTCTCTATCAAAAATTTCCTTTTTTTATCATTATTTTTTTAATCTCCTGCTCTTTATTGTTTACATTATTTTTTTTTCTGTTTATTCTTTTTTGTAATAGGTCTTCACGATAAATAAAATTGTTGCATTGATATTTTTTTTATTTATAAATCATATTTCTTTATAATGATGTTATTGAATCATCATTAAAATATATTCATCATTTAAACTTACATATCCACTGCAATAATTTTATTAATGTTTTTATCTTTAATTTTTTACTTAAAACTTTTATTTTTAATATTTTAATATATAGGGATATATGCATGCATAAAATTTTAATTTTATTTCTTTATATTACTAATATTCAAATTTCAAGTTGAAACATTTTTAAAATAAAAATCAAACATATATTACTTGCACTTAATCTAACTGTAATAATTTGAACTTAAATTTCTTTATAAAAATATGAATTTTATATTCATATTTATTTTTTTTTTTTCAGAACTTTTAATTCTTTGCTAACTTTATTATAAACCATCAATGCGTGTGCATTTATTTTGCTATATTTTTATTTTGAATTCATTTTACTCATAAAAATTAAATAGTTTACTAAATTATTACATAATTATCAAAATAAGTTCAATATTTTATAAATTATAATAAATATTATAGAAATTTAATTTTGTCAAATTTTATATGTATATATATATACTATTTTATTTTCATATTTTTTATCTATATGTTATTATTTGTTTATATAAATATTGTTGCATGTAGCATTTTATTTGATATTATTTTTTTTTTTACCTATTAAGTAGATATTATATAACATTATTACTTTACTATCCTTAGTTGTACATAACTATTAAAATAAAATTAATATAAATTTTGTTATTTTTTATAATTAATATAATAAATATTATATAATTGCAATTTTAATAATTCTATAAATAATAATATTATAACATCATTTTTATACCAATTTTTTTAATTGTTTATAAAGAATATTTTATTTTCTTTAATTTATTTAGAATTTTTTTTAATAAACTAAAGAAAATAATTATTTTTTTGTTGAAAATATTCTTTATTATTAGCTTTTTTTTTATTAAATCTGTAGTATTAATATTTAGATTTTTCATTTCTTTTATGTTTCATGCAAGAAAGCATGAACAGTAATAAATAATTAAAAAAAATTGTACGATGAATAATAAATTTTATAATAATGTATTTTATGGAAGGAACGAAGAAATGTAATTAAATTATAGTAGTTAAGTAAAAATATATGAATTATATTTAAATTATTTTTAAGTATATATTATAAACTAAATTTGTTTTAAGATAAAAAATATATATACATAAATAAAGTAAGAATTTAAAAAAATAATATTTCTACAAAAATATAATAGGATATATGTAAAATTATAAGAGATAAAAAATAAGAAAAATAAATATATGTTGCATTAATTTTAAAAATGGCACTTCTATATAACGAAGGGTGTGAAAATCCTGAAAAAGACATTACCGAATGTAATGTGACTGCATGTGTTTTACATGGAAGTAAATTTATATCGGTTGAGTGTCATCCTGCATTTAAAAAAGCTGTAAAATATTTTCAAAAAAATTCTGGAGATAATGTTGATGAAAATATATTTGTACTTGAAAATACCCCTTCACCTTATAGAGAAGAAAACAAAATAACTATTCTTTCACAAGATAACAATAAAGAAATTGTGTTACTATATGAAGTGAATCCAACGAATGGCTATTCTTCAAGTTTAGTATTTTTATGTCGTTTTCGGAATTTAAAACCAGGATTATCATTATGCCAACGAGTTGATAAAGCTTATATAGGAAGACCTCTTTCATATAGGACTATTGATGTAGTTGATAGAGATAATAAAAGTAGATATGAAATTGGTTTAAAACATATAAACAAGATTAGACATTCAACTCGTAAAACAAGATATGATGATATTTTTTTTAGTAAAGGTGCATGTCACTTTGTAACAGATGGAGGCACATCAGAAAAAGTTTGTACATATTCCGTATGCAAGAAGCATCCTAATGGTGGTGCATTTTGTAAAGATGCTAAATTTAATGGGAGATTATGCCAACTAGAATCATCTAATGGGTCAAAAGAACCTACTAAATTTATATATCTTCCAAATAGTTGTTTAAATGAAAATTCAAATTATTGTACCCCATATCTATGTCAATACGTGAAACCTAATGAATTATATCCATGTAATAAGTTAGAAATTAGTTTGGTAAAAGAATTAATGCCACATTCAAAAAGACTAGCATTGGAATATAGACAGAATAAATATATGTATAATGGTGGTTATAATTCATCTAGTCTTATTGCAATGTCTTTTTTTCCTTTCTTAATTTTGTTTTTTTTTATAGGATGTTATCTATATAAAATATTTAAAAGAAACAGAAAAAAAGTAAGTTATAAATAATATATGTATATTATTTATCCTATTATATATATACTTTACCATTATATTTTTTCTATTATTTAATATATAAAGATGAAAATATAAATAAAAATATATATATGTTATATACATTAAATAAATCCTTTTTTTTTTTTTCAGAAGAGATATTATTCATATAAAGAACCATAAATGCTAAGTTTATAAATAAGATCTGATATGCTTACAACCGTAGATGTTTATATAATTAATTACAGGAAATTTATATTTTTGGATTTAATACTTTTATTAAAATTCTTATTTACCATAAATTTTCCTAATTATGTAGAATATAAAAATTTTATACAAATATGTATAATATGAAATTGAAATTAAAAGTTTTTTATGTATAAATTTTATAAATGTTAAATACCTTTTTTTATGTGAAGGAATTCATATTCTTTTATATAACATGAAATATAAATATTATGGAAAAAATATATATACAAGTTATACATTAATATATATTGTTTATTATCATCCAAAAATAAAATGAATAAAAAATTTTTATTAATATACTAAAATAAAATAAATGTTTTGTTGTTTTATTATTAAATTAACATTAATTTGTGTATTAAATTTATTTGAATGTTAAATTTATATTAATTCCTGTTGTAATATTTATATTTGTTTTTAACCTTATTATTCATTTTTAATTTTGTTTTATTTGTTAATTTTAATTAGGTTTTATTTTTTTTGTTTTAGTATTTAATATAAACTTTATATATTTAGTTTTTACTATTAGATTTGAGTATAATTTCTATATTTAATATTAATTTTAATGATTAATGAAATATTTTTTTCATATTGTAGAACACAAAGTTTTTTTTATTTATAATAAATTTCCTAAACTATATTATTGTATATATATAACTAAATAATGCTAAAATCTTTGTAAACCAATCATAAAAACTAAATAAAATCGTTTACGTTTTATTTAATTTTTTCATATTATATATTTTTCTATTTTCTTTAAACATACATATATTTAAAATTATTCAATAAAATAAATACATACATAAATTTAAAAATATCATTTAAATATATTTCTTAATACATCAAATATTTCAATTGACGAAAAACTATGTGAATTTAGTAAAATTTACGTGAAAAATATATTATTTTATATTAAAATTTCTTTCTTTTTCAAGATTTAAATCGTAAATATATGTTCATAGAAATCTATTTATTTTTAATTAACTATAATATTGTTAGTTAATTTTATATTTTTATTTTCCTTATATAGTTTATAATGAATATGTATAAAGGATTTCATTTATCATTTTATTTTAGGCATTATAAATTTAAGAAAAAAAAAATGAAAATAACTAAATTAAATTATTTAGAGGTAAAAATAGAAAATATAATTTTTAAATTATTTAATATTAGTTAATTTGTAATGTTTAAAAATTATCAAAACTTAAGATATGTGTCTCATGAGTCTTATATGTAATTTTTCTTTTTTTGTAACTTTTTTCTACATAAAAAACATCAATAATTTATCATTTTTTCATCATTTAAAACGTCTAGGTTGTGGTAACATTTATATTTATAAGTATTTTACTAAATTTATCTTGTAAAATTAGACTACTAATAGAATTGATCAATTTTCTAGCAGAATTTAGTATTACATATACGTAAAATTTTGTATGTGATATAAAATTTATTTGTATAAATGATATTAAAAAAAAAAAACATAATTTCATAAAAAAAAAAAAAAAAAAAAAAAAAAAAAAAAAAAATTTTTTTTTTTTTTTTTTTTTTTTTTTTTTTTTTTTTTTTTGTATTTATTAATACATATATACATTATACAGAAAAAGAATTTGTTATTTTTTTATAGTGATATATGATTATTTTATATTTTATTTTATTGTTTTTATTTAATTCATTCGTAATATAAAATTTTTAAAAGATTTCTCTTTATAATTAAAATATATGTAATACACAGAAGATCTTTATAATAATAA